CAGTTATGCAGAGACTCGATAAAGAGTAAAAAATGGCATTTAACATGTAAATGAGCCAATAACCATGTCAATTGTCAAATGTGCAAAAATAAATAAACAAACAAAGAGCCATTAAGAAACCATGTATTGGAATCAGATGTGTGTCCAACAGGGACGCTTCAAAATCACAGCTTGTGAATTTGTACGATAGAAGACACTTTGCAAACATATAGTACATTAACACAGAAGGATACACAGACACATGATAATAAATCGAAGTTCCTCCTGCTTGCAAATGCCTCTAGTATCAAATGCTGTTAAACCTATCACTATCTTGAGTTGATGTCTTTAAACAACCATATTAAAGCCTCTAACTACTGTTGCAATCCTATTGTATGACATGACTTGATAAACATCCAAATCCAATAGCTATGGGTGCGACAGCTTTGACATTAACTCGTACACTTAACTCAAACCATCTGAATTATACATACAAACATCCCTGTAAATCAACGCCAAGGAACATAATTTCATTCTAGCAAAATGGCATACCTCAGTAACTTTTTTCTTTTTGACAAGTGGCATACCTCAGTAACTATTCCTTCATATACACTTTAAAGACATTAAATAAAAAAGAAAGAACCAGTGTTTGTCAAGCTGTCATTAGCTATTTCTTAAAATATAATTCACTAAAGCAACACGCTTCATTAGAGTTAACACCTCCAAATATCAGAAAAGGGGAATCTAGAACCTTCGGTTTACAAATTCACATTTAGAATATTGCAGACCAGAGGGAAAATGTCCAGCCCATACTTTAGCTTTCACTGCTTAATTCACAATCCTGATTGCCACAACAGGTTTAATAGAAATGACCAAGGGGCTAAAACTGAAGTTGAAAGTTGGTTCCAACATAGTTTTCAAGGCACCAAGGCGAGGCTAGGTGACTGGGGAGCGCCTTGTCGCCTAGTTGCCTAGGCAATGGATTTTTTTATGTTAAAAACATAGATCCTAGCGTAGTCCCCTAGGTACCATAACCATATTTCTTTAATAATTATTCATTATTTTCATAAAAAAAAGTATAAATTTCATATTAAAGTATAGAAAATCAACACATTCATGAGAAGAAAAGGAAGAAGGAAAATAAAATTCAAAAAATTAAGGGGCTGAACCCTTATTTTTGTTATAGGAAAAGAAGAAAATAAAAAGTATTGGTAGTAGTAGTAGTGGTAGTAATAGAAGAAGCAAAAGAAGAATATATGGAAGAGGAAAATGTGCTGATTATATGAAATATTTAAGTTCCTCCTTATTGATTCAGGTTTTCAAGTCTTTGAGGGTTCAATACAGCATTTAGCAATGTTTGTGTTGATTAAACCCTAATAAATAAGAAAATAATAAAAAAAAATTAGTATATAAACACACAAAATTATTATTTTAGTTTAATAATGTCTATTTTATAATTATAATCTCAAAAAAGAATGAATAAAAAAAGTATTTTATAGTAAGAAGTACAAAACTGTTTGGCGATTAGGCGCGGCGAGCCTCAAAGGGTGCCTTGCCACCTAGGTGTTGCCTTGACAACTATGGGTTCCATACAATTCAGTTTCTCAATTTTCAGAAAATGTCATCGAACTAACTTTAAGAAACTACCTGGGGCTTAAAAGGAATATATAATTATCAAAAAATATAGTTACCAAAGGGATAGAAAACACTGCAATATTATTATAATCTAAGACAATGATAATAATAAACACAAACTGCTGTATCATAGGTACAAGTCAGAAAGTTGCATATGGTAATACATTTTTCAATTAAAGTAATGTAATTAAGTCTTAAGATAAAGGTTCAACTATAATACTGGGAAAAATTCTTTTAACAAATAAACAAGTATTATAAAAGCGATAATCAGTTCAGGTGAAATTCATCAAAATTCAATCGGTGGAAGGCTTTGATTGATCAAAGCTCTTCCGCTATCAACTTATCATACCCTTCTGGCACCATAGATTTACCCCTAAGTTAAAATTAATAATTGACAATGAAAATACTTCACAAAAAAAAAAAGACAAAAGTTTTAAGTATCAATAGATACATACCTTTAAAACCAAGACACTGTCAACACATATTAGAGTTTTGGAATTTTGGATGCTTGTGGCACTTCTGCAGCCATTTCAAAAGAATGAAAGGCATATCCAAAACCAGTCATGTAGATCATAAAAGTTTGTTCCTCAAGAAACTTCTAATACTTCAAAAAACATGATGGGAGTAATGGAGGATAACTCATAAGTTCAATGCAGACTGAACTTTACCACCATTTCTTTTTCTTTTCTTTTGTTTTTTATATGCATAACATTAACAACCATCATCACTTTGGGGGAATACTAGAATCTAAATGGAATCCAAAATAAGATGATCCAATTCAGCTACACCAAAATAAACTGATCCAAGGATAAAAAGTTCCCCAAAAAAGGAATCTTATCAACAAATATTAAACATGAAACAACTCTGATTGGAAAATATGGCACTTTTGACCCATCAAAAGGACTACAATGAACAATCTAAGAGCTATATAAACTAGTAGAATATCTCAACAGTTGAGATTCTGATCTCCTTAGCTATACTTGAATTCAATAATTCTAAACATTGGGTGCAATACATAATTAGAGGCACTTTCATCTTCCCTTCCGTTGTGAAAGAATATCCCAAGACTATCAGATCAGCTTAGGTTCTAAAAGCAATCTCCTCATGGTACTAATTGAATTCAGTTCTAATCAAAGTTCAAAATTTCAATACAATACGCCCCATATCAGACATCTTATATCATATCAGTATGTCATGGATACACCTATTCTAAGGCTTTTCCAAAATGTGATGTTTAAATGTTAATTAAAAAATTAGGAAGTAAAAAAATAGTCGTTGATAGTATCAAAACAGCAGTATGCATGTTTTTTTGATGAATGATAATAAATTTATTAATTCAGAAGCAGATTTAGAGTGAGTTCATACAACATCCCAGGGAGAGGCGCTGCAGCCCCTCCTTGAATCTAACAAGTAAACTAGGAAAGAAAAGCAAGAATCACAACTGAGCCCAAAACAATTCTTCCCTATTTACCCCTTGCTTGGGTAACACGTCTGACAAAGTATTTACTAATCTCCCCACCCACTGTACAGTGACCAATATATTCCTTGTCAACCAACTAAGTTTCTTCATTTCATTCTTGTAACGCCACATAGCCTCTTCAGGATTTTTCAACCAATCCACCACCACTTTGGAATCCCCCTCGATTGTTAGGTGTTGTACCCCCAGCTGGTTTGCAAATTGCACCCCTTGTACAGCAGCTAAAAGTTCTGCCCTGATGGAATCCCCAATTCCAAAGGGACCTAAGTAGAGCAACAAAATCTCTCCCTTCTCATTTCTCAAAGCACCCCCCATTCCGAATAATCCTGGACTACCCATGCTACTTCCATCAAAGTTCAACTTCAATGAGCCTTCGGATGGAGGAGACCAACTTGTAATTCATTTGTCCTTTAGGGATGAACACCTCGCTACTGCTGACCAATTTCTCCAAAGGTCATTAAAGGAGAATTGATGAAAAATTTCCAAGGTCTTCAACCAAGGTATTGCCCTATTTAGCACACAGTCTTTCAATTCCTGACTGCTCCTTTCCTTTTCTTGAAAAATTCTAGCATCCCTTTCTTCCCAAAGAGTCCAAATCAAGGTAGCATGAACAGTAGTATGCATGTTCATGTGTATCGGGTGTATCAATACTTTGAAACTTAGGTTCTAAAAGCTAGGTGCCACAAAAATACAGCACAAATTGGAGGCAGCTCCATCTGCTCTCCCATTTTAAACACTATCCTAAGTAACTTTTTTATTAACCATATCTTCTTTTCTCAATAAAAATAAAAATGTACAAGGAGAAGAGGGGAAAAAACCAAGAATTAGCTATGGCTAATGTCATCTTACACTAAGGAACTCCCTTTAGCAAGGTTTCACTTTCTACCATGGGTGGTGTCAGAGAGAATTTGTGCAAATATCAGGGAGGATATGGCCAATATTGAAGGAGAACCCACACAAGGAATCCTAAATAAATAAAAAGAAAGGGAGGGCGATTAAGGCCATACCAAGTAAATGTGAACTCAATGAAAAAGGGTCATTTAATCCCACTACTCTACAGCTAAAACCAACAAATCAAGTCTTAACAACATGGCTATTGTTACCATATTTATTTATCTACAGGAGTCTTGTAGCCAACCACATAAAGTTGGGATAAGGCTTTGTTGAGTTTATCCAAATAGGATAAGGCATCTTTTCATTCAAGCCCCAGAAGATATATGCACAACTTGTTTCTTGTGCAAGGCACTTTAAACAAACAAAAATTAAAAATAAAATTATACATAGTTGACCTACAGAAAGGAACAAAATGTCATTCATACTTAAATATATCATCATCCAAAGGTTATAATTTATATGCATATCTTTTCTTTTTGGTAAGCATATATTTCTTCTTGATGATGCACGAGACAAACCTACAAGAAGCACAGCATCCATAATACATTACTTGGGCTATAACTGGTAACAAATCTAATCAGCAAATAAAAATCAGGATAATAGAAGGTTCAAGCCACTCTCTAACATCAATAGTTGGGAACCTTGGGGCACTGTTCAGAAGCATCCAAATAAAACCATTGTACAAAGGCATCCACAAGGATTAAAGGAAACGAGTAACTTTCATGCACTTTTTGACCAAAGCAGCCTCTTACCTTTTTTGGCATGGGAACCTTAGCCCAATATACAAAAGAATCCACATAAACCCACTCCCAAAGATAATCAACACAAATCACAGGGCACAATACTTAATGTTATACAATCTCTGCCCAACACAGGGAACGAATCAAAGCTCAGAAAGAACCATCGTGGTTACTATGTATTATTGTTCATAAGAAAGAAACTGAGCAATTAAAGCCCACCATCAAAGAATGTCAAATAGAAATTACCCTAGTGAGATTCTAAATGAGAACAGCTATACCCAGAAAACACATGAGAGAAGTAAATTTATTGAAGAAGAAAATAGACAAACAGACAGATGAGAGAGAGAGATTAAAGAGGAAGAATCTATATCTTCTTTAAACAGTTACCCACCGCATTAAACCCTGAAAGAGAGCACCAAAAAAACGAGAAAGAAAATCATCCAAAATGATGTAAAATTTGACAAAAGAACGCTATGGTCATGCCATCTCCCTCTTCTCTGCGTTTGCACCCAAATTCATCGTTTCCCACTGAGTCCCAAATAAAATGCAAAACATCCAAAAGAAAAACTATAACAACAAGCAAAGTACTAATATCAAAACCCAAAACCCATCAGAAGAACGACCGCACTGGATCATTCAAAACGCTTCTGTTCGTTGGGGCACTCCCTTGCAAAATGCCCTTGCTCCCCACAGTTGTAACAACTACCACCACCACCACCACCACCACCACCAGAATATCCACCGGCACCGCCACCACCGGACCTCCAACCGCCGCCGCCACTTCCCCGATTGCAATCCCTTGCCAGATGACCAGCTTGCCCACAGGTGAAACAAGCACCCGCGCCAAATCCACCGTAGCTTCCACCCCCACCATAGCTTCCACCTCCATACCCTCCACCCCTACCTCCTCTCCCGCCACTCCTTCCCCCTCTCCCGTACCCACCACCGCTACCATAGCTGCCTCCTCTCCCCCTTCCACCGGAAAACCCTCTCCCGCCGTTACCTCCTCCCGAAAGGTTTCCTCCGCCCGGTGCCGACACATCGACGGCCTTCGTCCGTCCATCGTCGCTCTGCTCGATGACGAACTCGACCGCCTCACCCTCCGAGAGGGTCCGGAACCCATCGCATCGGATCGAGGACTGATGAACAAACAGATCTTCCCCTTCTTCGGGAGTAATAAACCCAAAACCCTTCTGCCCACTGAACCACTTCACGGTTCCCTTCATTCTCCTACCCTGCGCCATTGCCTTAGATCGCAAAAGAAAGCTTTTATCCTGCAACGAAGCTTAGAACGCCCCGAACTCTTTAGTCCTGTATTGGAAAGCTGCCAAATAACCAGCTCTTTGTAATCCTTCTGTATTGGAAATTTCTCTCCCTCAAAAAAGCAATCGAATCATCGCTAAGGCAGCAGCTTCTGATCTAAAACGATCTTTTTCTTTTGTTTCTCGTTTCTTGCCTTTTTTTTGTTTCTTCTCTGCTCTAAATGCTTCTGGGAACCTCAACCTCAGCGGTCGAGTTCGAACGGTTTTAGGGCGTTTAATTGAAGTGACCCGACTGAGACGATCAGACGGCTACTGTTAGTTACACAAAGTTGGCCGAATTTACACCATCCGATACAATTCCTTTTCTTTTTCAGTTAGGAGTTGGGTTAAAAGTCAAAACTACCCTTTAATAAATCCAAGTACATTCTAGCCAGCTAGGTATTAGCTGATCTGATAGTCGACACGTGGCATACATGCATCGGAATGCATGGCTAGCTAGCTCACTTGTGTTGTGTTGTTCGTTTCGTTCTTCTTTCTGGTGGGCTCCACAGTGGTGTCCAACATGGGGAAGGTGGATAAGTGGATTCTGCTTTCCATAGTCCAAACTGCAAAGGCAACCTACGGCGCGGTAAGCCCAACAGCCCGGTGTCCGTTTGGGTGGGCACTGGGCTTCTGGCTTTACAGGTGAGCCCTATATATATATATATATATAAATTGGACAGGTTTCACAATAGGATGTCTCTTCTTTCAGAGTAGTTATTTATCTATTTTTTTTTATTTTTTACATTTTTTTTATTTTTTTGTTTTAAAATTGCATGCTATTAGAAAAATCTTTGGATTTTTTAAGTCTTTTTATTTTAATACATGTTATTAATACATTTCAAAAGGATATTTAAGATAAAGAGAGAGAGGAAAAGGCGAGGGAGTAGTAATAATAATTACTATATTTTAAAATTTATAGTATTAATAATAATTAACAGTATTTTTATTAATTAATTGTATTAACCATATTTATTAATTAACAATGTTTTTAATAATTATCATATTTTTAAATAATTAAATTAATATAATTATAATTATAATTTATTAAAAAACAGTATTAACAATTACAATATTTATTAATTAACAGTAATTAAATAATTACAGTATTTTCTTCATTAACAATATTAACGGTACTTTTAATTAATACAGTAATTTTAATAATTACTATATTATTAATTAATTAAAAGTATTTATTGAAATACTGAATTTATTAATTAACATTATAATAATAATTACTGTATTTTAAAATTTATAGTATTAATAATAATTAACAATATTTTTATTAATTAACTGTATTAGCCATATTTATTAATTAACAATATTTTTAATAATTATAGTATTTTTTAAATAATTATCATTATTTATTCAAAAATAGTATTAAATAATGTATTTATTAATTAATATAATTATAATTATAATTTATTAAAATCAGTATTAACAATTACAATATTTATTAATTAACGGTAATTAAATAGTTATAATATTTTATTCATTAACATATTAACTTTACTTTTAATTAATACAGTAATTTTATTAATTACTACATTATTAATTAATTAAAAGTATTTATTGAAATACTGAATTTATTAATTAACATTATTTTCAACTAATATAATACGTTTAATAATTAGTATTTTAACTAATTAACATTATTTATTAAAAATAATGTATTTTTTATCAACAGTATTTTTAATAATTACAATATTAATTGATGGGGGGTGATTTGACCCAACCTCCTAACCAGGGGACACGTGGACGTGACTCGACGTAAGCGATAGCTCAGCATGACAGCTTGGCTACAACTCAGCGTAATGAGCCCGCTAAAACCCAGCTTGAACAGCTCACTACATAACGGCTTGCTGCAAGGTAGCTCGCTACGAAGGAGCTCGCTATTGAGTAACCTGGAGTCTTCGGGAAACTTCTTATCCGACAAGACCGTGCCGGTTAGACTGCTCCCACGTCTCTTGTCTGCCGGCGCAGCACCTGCCAGTCCAGAGAACTGCGCCCACGTCTCACGTCAGGCGGCGTCGTGCACGCTAGTTCTGCATAACGTCTCTCAGCTGACAAGATCGTACTCTGCGACGGTTACCTGCACCAGTCAAATCAGCCTGGCAAATAACGGCTGTAGCAGAGAATTAGAGGCGGTTACACCCGATTTGACAGAGCATCAGTATATAAAGGCCTCGATTTCCAAGGGGCAAGGGGATAATTTTTGGAGTAAGTGTGCATCTCCACTCTTAGCTCATTTTCCTTTACAACTCTCTAGGCTCTCCACCGAGTTCTAACTTAAGCATCGGAGTGTTCCCACCGAGCGAGCTCCCTGGGAATCCTTCGTCTTCTTCTCCTTCTCAGGTGTGACCAGATCTAAGGTAATGGCGCTACATCAATTGGTGTCGTCTATGGGAACACGCGACAAAAACCTCGTTAGTCCTCTTCATGAGGTCCCCCCTACAAAGATGAGCTCTTCGCGGCTTCCGTGGGAGTTGGCGGCCAACAGACTACATGGGCGCCCTTGCCGGTCTAGCCTTCCAAGGCTTCCGCGTGAGCTGGTGATCTAAAGTTAGTAGTGCTGTCCCCGAAGGTCGAGCTCCTAGTAGCTTCTTGTAGGAGTGGGTGATCGGCATTACGAGGCTGATGCAGCGCAATCATAGCTCTAAGGCACCCACCCGGTCAACCCGACACCTCACAGACAGCTCGGCACCCGGTCAGCCTGACACCTCACAGGCAGCTCGACACCCGGTCAATCCGACACCTCACAGGCAGCTTGGCACCCAGTCAGCCCGACACCTTACAGGTAGCTCGGCACCCGATCAGCCCGACACCTTACAGGTAGCTCGGCAACCAATCAGCCTGGCACCTCACAGGCAGAGACCTCGACACCACATAAGACCCAGTCACCTTTTCGGCATGGGAAAAGTCAAGGAGAGTGGACTATAAGCCGCTCCCAAAGCCTACGAGCCACGTTACTGCTGAAAGACCTAGTCGCCTCTATAGCATGGGCAACATTACTACTAAAAAACCCAGTCGCCTCTACAGCATGGGCAACACAACTACTTAAGACCCAGTCGCCTCTTCGGCATGGGCAAAGTCAAGAAGAGTGGACTACGAGTCGCTCCCAAAGCCTACAGGCCACATTACTGCTTAAGACCCAACCGCTTCATAAGCATGGGCAAAATCAGCAAAAGTGGACTATAAGTTGCCCCCAGAGCCTAAGGGCTACAGCACTGAACTGGCGGAGACCTCCTCACCTTACAGGCAGCTCCCAGAGCCTAAGAAATTGGATCAACGCTTACTAGCTCGTCAACTTACGAGCCAAAAGGAGAAATCTACTCCCTTCGCCGAGTTACTCTCACCTCGGGAGTGGGAGGAAAATGATGAGGGCGGATTTGTCCCTCTAGTGAAATTATGACACCTGACACCTCATGCCAACAAAGTGTAGCCTCTTGACAACTAGACAGCTCGAGCTAGCTACAGGCAGCTCGTCACCTATAGGCAGCTTGCCACTAGCAGGCAGCTCGCCACTTACAGGCAGCTCGACATAGGCAGCTCGCCATAGGCAGCTCAGCATAGGCAGCTCGCAACAGGAAGCTGGCCACTTACAAGCAACCTGGCATCTTACGAACAGCTCGGGTAGAAGCACCTCGGCACATTACTGATAGCTCGGTGAAAAGCAACTCGGTGAAAAGTAGCTCGGTGCAGATCAGCTCGGCGTATCGCAGGAAGATTTCCTACTTGACAACCGTACCTACCAAATCTGGAGACATGCGCCCACGTCTCTCGCCAGGTGGCATCATGCCTGCCAGCCCTGAGAG